TTGTTGTTTCATAATATATCAGTAGTGCTGCAGTTGTCCAAAAGAGCTCCGTATCAGCTCAGGATGCTTTTCTTTGACAGTCATAATAGTAATCACAATAATTAACTCGAGGATTATTTTTTTTCTCAATTGTCTGTAATTTTATAAACAGAACATTTTCTTGTTTGCAACACTTTCAGACTATTTTATGTGTATACTTATCTACATGATGTTGATTATGGGCAAGGATAATTGAAGAGCAGGATTATACGGAGGGGGGGTCACTGTGTACAGTAGGATATAAGTGGTTCTGCTTTTCATTTTGTCGTTTTAAATGAAGATGTAAAGTCTGCAGCTTTTTACTTATTCCATGCTCGTGCAAACTTGAGAAGCAAAAACCTAATCTGGGGTGAGGTTTACCGTAGGCTCCTGGATTCGCCTTCAGTCCACAAAGCAGTAATTACTTACGCAGTAAATCCAGACACCAGACTGAAAAGGCTGAACAGGGGTTGACTTGAGGAGGAGGGTAGAGCCAACTCTGAGTTTTCACCCATTTCTGCCTTCAGGCACTTCTGAGGAAGCGCTTTTCATTGACACAGTCCTCCCAGAACAGAGACCTTACTAACAATTAATTCAGACCACATTTATTGAGAACCTGTGAAAATGGCTGGAAGATTGAAACATCCCAATTCCCTTAGTGGGTCCTCATCCTCTGCATGCGCAAACACCAATTTCCAGTAGATGAAAGAGGGCACAAGCTAGAGCACCGAGAGGGAGATGAAAGATTTCATCGTCTTTACTGAGATTTCTACACTGATGCCACACTGTGGATGTTACAGCCTTTTAGAAATGTTCAGTCACCTACAGGTCAGCGGAAACATGCGGATGTTCTTTTAGCCACCCCACTGGGTCACAGTCAGACATATTCCAAACATAATCAGTGTCTGTTATTCATTAATGCATTCTTTAACATCTCAGAGTCTGCTCGGCGTTGACCTGAATGATGGACTGTGAATTCCTCAAAGCTCTGACTGATTGTAAATGTCAGAAAGTAGCCTCATCTCAGGCACCCAGATCAGCACAGCACTACATAACCAGAGGGTCTGCATCATTTATGAAAAACATACATAAGTAAAATACGAAGCGGGTTCAAAGATTCAAAGGTTCAAACTCTAAATATTGAATTAGGACAAACTATGTATAGGGTTCAAAAAATGGAATAAAGCCAAGATTATAATGAGAGCAATAATATAACACTTAAACAATCTGAAGAGGGCCACTGACACCTGTAAAATCTTTAAAAGGCAAATGTTGCTTTGTGTTTCAGATGATGAAGGACCAGATCCTCCCGAACAGTTTACTGCCATCAAGCTCTCAGACACACGGTGAGTATACAAAGATAAACTGCACATTGTTTTTTCATCTTCTCACCAGCAGATTTATTACCCCATTTCTGCATTTTATATTAAGGATCTGTTTCTATTGTCAAGATGTACACAAGTAATTTACCAGCCCATGGGCGATCAATCCTTGAAGATGCGCTGCCTGTTACAGAGCTATTTCTTATGCATTAGTTTCAGTGATAGATCTCAGATTCATACACTAATGTTATTGAACTATTCTTTTCACAGAGAAACACATATTCTGTGGCGAACGTGTTTTGAATATTAGATTAGCCTTTTTTACAAATCTGTTTAGGGTTTTTTTCTTTTTTGCTGTCGCAGGATAGCCTTGAAGTCTGGATATGGAAAGTACCTCGGCATCAGCTCTGAGGGTGTGGTGATGGGGCGCTCTGATGCCATTGGCTCCATGGAACAATGGGAACCAGTCTTCCAGGATGTGAGTAAATCTTCTAATCGATGTATGCCACCAGTTCAATAATGACATGCAGAGCTGCTGTTTGAGTTTCTTTCTAGTCCAGTGAGTTTTTTTGCAGAAAACAAACGCATCTTTTCAAGATTCCAGATTGGTAGCTTGAGTAGTTTCTGGTGGTGACAGAAAATGTGGCTTAATCCCACAGGTCACAAAACTATTGATTTTATTATTAATGTCAATTTCAGTTATTCTGGCAGACTCATGCTGCGCATATTTGAGTCTGCCAGCAGCAGGGCTGTGAAAGAAGTTTGTTACCTCAGCTCGCTGTGGCTTCTGCTCATTGTTTTTTTATCTTGTACTTATATAAAACATGCTGAATACTACAGCCATACAGTGATAAACCCTGAAACCTACTGAATTTTCTGTGATTATGTCAAAATATAACTCAACCCACCAATTAAATGCTGCAGCTGCCAGGAACGTTCACATTGCATTAGCAGTAAGTTGATACGGCCTTTGTTTGTTTTTGTTTAGTTTTCTTTTTGTTTTTGCTGTTGGTACAGTTACCCAGTTTGTATTATTGCAAGTCGCGACTGAACATCTGACATTTATTTTGAAAATTAGAGTTGCTTGATCTCACACTACAGCATCAGCATAATAGGCCAAAACAAGCAGGTGCAGCACCCACACTACCCCTCCTCTTCCTTTGTGTATCATTTACATCCACCTGGAAGCTTGTGATGATCCAACCGAAAACCAACCCGTCGCTATATAATACAATAAATGTCTCTAGCAAGTTGTCGTCAAGTAATTTCACTTGTACAATTGTTTGCCTTTTGTGGCTGAATGCTCTCTGACTTCCTATTTTTTCATTGCCGTGTTAGAAGAGACTGTTTTTAATAAAAGGGACAGTGTTTTCAAAGGAACGAGGTTCACATAGATATGGATGGCCAGGCTGCCGAAACATAGAATAGAAAACCTTAGATACTTTATTCTCTGCTAATGAAGCTATCACTCCACTAAATCTAGTAAATGGTTGCACTGGGTTTATCGAACCCGTCTCGATAGAGTACACCAGCCAGATTTAACTGCTAAAGGCACTGGATTAAAATAAGAAAAATAATGATTATGTCATAGTTTCTAATTGCCTTCATTATCAAAGTGGCTGCCAACAAACACTGGAGGGACCCTGGCGTCTTACTTTTAATTGGTGTGCAGCCTTTTAGTCCCTTTACTGTCTGACTTTATACTCTGAAGAGATGATTTGGTTAAAAAGGCAGTCGCACAAATTTAATCAGTGCATTTACTAGCCCGCTAGCAGCAGCACCACTGTGCAGTGAAGTGCAGAGAACATGTGCATGTGAAGATAGAAATCTAAACAAAGATAACAGGCTAAATAAAGATAAAAAATTAAAGCATCAGATAATGCTGTGAACACTAAGTTGCTCTACTGATCGCACCGACACAAGTAAGATAATTGACTAAACAATTAGTGGTCTGATAAGATATTTGAATATATTTACTTGGGTTTTCTCTTTTTTTCATATGTTTTGGATACCTTCAAACTTGCAGAAGAATGATAAATGTTTTAATAAGAACTTTATATTCTTGAAATTTGTAAATATTTGTATTTGAAACACAACATGCATATTTTGTGGTTGTGTCACATCGTGTAAAAGGATCGCTTATGTTTTAGTTTCTTTGTTTTGTTTTGGTTTAACCAGCCCCAAAGAGCCCTGATTCATACAACACGCCTCTGGACTGACATTAAGCCCATGGGAGATGGCATTTACCTGAAGTTATGAGCAACTAGCTCATTATGCAGAAAGCATCTACCTTATCACTGCAGCGTGCTGCTTGCCTTCATGCTTTGTTGAAACTATAAACAAGCTGCCCAGCACAACCTTGAAACTCTTTTACATCAAATATTGGGCAACCTTTCATGCCTGTCACAACAACCAATCCCACTGCAATTCTATCTAATCTACCCGACCCCACCCCTCTCCCCATCTCCTGTGTTTTCTTTTTGTTCTGCTTCAGGGTAAAATCGCTTTCCTGGCAGCAAATAGCTGTTTCATTTCCTACAGTGACAACGGGGACATTGTGGCCAAGAGCAAGACAGCAGGGGATGGCGAGATGGTGAAGGTGATGTGTAAATAGTGTTCTTCCACAAGGTTGCATGTTAATCCTTTGATTTTAAGCATGCAATCTCTGTAGGGGTCTGACTGTTAAGTGGGAAGGGGGAAATGTTGTGACCTCACTTCATGGAGTTCAAGGTATTGATATGTAACGCACCACTTCCCTCCTGCTCCTCTCTTTCTCTCTCTCCCTCTTTCTTTCTTCTTTCTCTTTGTTTTTTGTTTTTTTCCCACTGGACAAAGAACAGATCCGAACTTGTGCAGAACGAGAGGTCAAGCGTAAAGATGACATTGCAGATGAGGACAGGGGCAACGTGAAGTCCTGCGAGATCAATTATGTGTACGTAACCTCTGCTGTTTATAAGCGGTGCTTATGAAATGTGTAAGCAGCCCAAACAAAGACTAATGAAGGAAAAATGTTAAGTTCTCTTATATTTTCTTTGGAATCTTCTCCGTTAGAAAGGTTATCGTAAGTTAGAATAAGTAAATGTTATAATTACCTGTTATTCTTTGCTAAGTTCAGTAGATGCTTTTGTTCTCCTTTAATGTGAAGTTTAACTAGACGTTTCTGTTCTCTTTCAAAATAGGCCTGTGAAAAAGAGGACGTTGTAATTTATTGACGTCCATAACCAGAAAAAGCGGCTGCATGTACCACGGCCCACTACTTTAAAAAAAAAAAGGCTTGTAGCAAGCAGTGAAACACAGATAAGCTGATGTGCTTATGTGAGGCGTTGCAAGATGGTTAAAATGATAGGAAAAGAGGGATATCTGACAGGGAAATACTGTGTCTATAGCAAAGCTATAGGTATCAGTCAGTATGAGGTCTCATCGATAAGCTGCTCAAAAAACAACGTTTAACCTCCAGTGTTTACAACGTCATAAAAACATCACATTTAAAGGCATTCATTAAGAGGTACCAGGTACTTTTTTAGTACCTACTTTACTGGGTTTCCAAGTGAGTGGAGTCGCATGCCACTGATTGGCCAGCCAGTGGCATCACTGTTGTGAAAGCAACTTTTTGAAACCCAACAACAAGGGAAACAGCAGCACGAAAACCAACACCGTGTCTTTGAGTCTGACTAAAAGCTGTAGACGGAGCAGCAGATGTACCATCGCCTCAACGTTCTTCATTGTTTTGTTGTGTTTGTGTCGCATACAAATGACATCAAAAGACTTTTGGCCATGTTGCTACGGCGACCTGACACACATTGAGGTGGCTCTCAGTTGTAATGGAAAACAACCAAAACCAGATTGAGCCGAGTAGGTACTAGTGGAAAAGAGGGATAACACTTCTTTTATATGACATATCATTTGTAATATTTCAGCGTAAGTAAATCATCTGAACCCTGACCACACTGCTGGTCACAACTTCTCGATGTTCCAAACAGTGAGCTGCATCTACACATGATGCTTCGGTTTCAGAGGTTAGAAGACTGAAAAATGCCCAATTTAAAATCGTTATGTTAGAAAAGGCCAAAGCTTAATGCCTGTTGGGTTAATCTCTGCATCCACACAGGAAACGATTCGTGTCGAGGTCACGATCAGAGATCATAGAAAACCACTGCCTTCGGCTTGGTGATGATGTCACTACTGTGGAAACACACTAGCAACCAGACGTTAGGAGCTCTCAAGATAAACTTTAGCACAGGATACTGGTGATTGCCATATGGCAGAGTAGTAAATACATTCAGAGGGTTGCCTAGACAACCCGATCCTGGACCAACCATCAGCTTCAAAATGATCATCACCTTTTTCCGTCCCATTTTCTGTAAATCATAAACTCTGCTTTGATACACTTTCTTTGTAAAAAATTCATACTGCTAATAGAATTTGTCTTACAAGCACTTGATGCTTCCTATCAGTAATTAAATTTGCAATAATTTGACATTTTACAGTTTCAACCGAGCACCATCTGCCTCCCCAAAACCAGGGAGGAAAATAAAAGAAAACAAACAGTAATTTCTTTATCCTCACAATTATCTTCAAGTGTCAGTCTCTACTGACAAGATTTGAACAGCAAAAACACTTGCCTGGGTGTGAAGAAGATCACGCCTAAAGGATCTGCCTCATCAATCCAATGCCTTTAAAGGCACAATTGATGGTCTGCTGTAAAAGCGTGATGAGAAGGCAGGGAGCGGCGCATTTTCGCTTCCAATGCTTCAAGTGTTTTATATACAGCCTGTCTGTGGCCTATTAAGTTCCGGGCAATATGTCTGAAGCTGTGTTTTTGTTAGTTTTTTTACTTGGCATGCTTTGGCTTTCGTTGGCCACTATTATTTGTTTTAGATGAATGCGGGGGAAATGGACTCATCTTGCTGACATGTTGATAATGGCTGCCCTTGAGCCTGTGTCTTGATGTAGTGTTTAGCGTCTGAAATGCTTTTCAGGATGGAGTGTGCCTTGGGAACGGCAAAATGCAGGCAGAATGGGAGAGAAAGTAAATATCGGAGAGTTTTCCGACACACTGCCGCGCTTGTTTATGAAGGTTTTGTCTGAGATATTTAAGTATGTTGTTAAGGTGGCTTATATTAAAATGAGGGATTATTTTAAGCTTTTTT